CCCCAAAACCCCAAAACCCCATATGATCGAACAAATTCAAAATTAAATTATTATCGTTAAAATTAGAATATAAATTGAAACAAAAGATGATGCTACAATCAGATGATGAGTATTAAGATTAGGTCTATGGTCAGGAGGAGGAGTACTAAGATGATGTTGGGGATGACAACCAAGACAATCCATACAATGAAGTATATGTTTGGGGAGGTAATTACACACTAACAAGCATTTTAATGACATATTTAAATAGATGACAGCTATGGATAACTAGGATTATGCGATCTCTTCCCAGAAAAGTTGATAACAATACCTAAAACATGCTCCTTTAATGTAGTAATTAAGAGTATTTCCTGTGGACTTTCGCACACTTGCTTCGTATCGGATTAAGGCCATATCTACTCAATGGGATCTAACTCAAGCGGGCAATTGGGTCTTGGAGATAAATCTATCAGATCAAAGAATACTCCTACTAATGTAGAGACTCTCGTTGATTATTTCATATGTTAAGTGTCTTGTGGAAATGAACACACTCTTGCTATTAGTGAAAATGGAGTTTGCTTTGCTTGGGGGCAGGGGAAATATGGTTCTTTGGGAAATGGCCGAAGTGATCCATAGTTTGAGCCAATATTAGTCAACTTTACTGATCCTATAATAGATGTTCAGGCAGGCGGACATCACTCTGCCTTCATTAATAAGAATAATACATTATTCATGTGCGGTGATGGCTCTAAGGGACAATTAGGTATTGGAGAAGAGATTGAAGGCGGGATATATAAACCTTAGTAAGTCAGAGAAGATGTGTTTAAGGTGAGTTGTGGTGAAAATCACACTTTGATTATTGCAAATAATACCAACAGAGTCCTAGCTTGTGGAGCAAATGATAAGATGTAAATGGGAATGGGGTAGTCTTCGAAGGATTATGTCTGGAAGTTCCAAGAAATTGAAGCTTTAAGAAACGTAAAGGCTTAGGAGATTAAATGCTGGAATTTCTCTGCTGTGATTGATGCCAAGAACAACTTCTGGGTTTGGGGTGTACTATTTGATAGTTAAGCAAACAAATCTCTATGCATCAAGACTCCTGAGTAGGTTCCTAAACTTAAAGTCAAAAGTATTGAGATAGGAGAGACTCTTGCAGTAGCTGTTGATTAAAAGACATAAAATGCCTTTATAATAGGAACTAATGCCAAAGGTGAGCTTGGGCTTTTGGATTAGTAGGCTAGAAAAAGCTTTGTATTAGTCGACGAGATTAGTGATAAGTCTATTGAGTTGATTTCAGTAGGCAAATCTGGCTATGTAGTCGCTATTGGCCAGATCTTTGATCCTAATCAGCAAGAATATAAGGAAGTGCAGACTAGAGAAGTGGTCGAGTATCCACTTAATTAAGATATTAGCTAAATATCAATGAAGAAGAGTCAGATAAGCCAGGGAGCTCCTGCAATTGAAGAGCGCGTTGATAAATCCAGAAAGTCTTCAAGCAAATAAAATGATTCCGCCAAGGGTGGCATACCTGCTCCTCAGTAAATAAATAATGTCGAACTAGAATCAAAATTAGTTTAGTAAGTTTTTAATAATCTTTAATTACCTATAGGCTAAGCTAGTAAGTGAAGTCAAAAGATAATGCTTTAAGAGAGTATGAATAGTAGATTAGTAATTTAAAAACTCAATTGAGAGAGACTAACTAAGCGCCTTAAATATCAGTCAGGGACAAGACCCAAGCACTTTAGTCAATTGAGCTATAATCTAAAGTAGTGTCACTAGAAGCAGAGAACTCTTAGCTTTTATCTAAGAATACTGTATTAGAAAAGAAAGTGGAGTCGTTAGTCAAATTTCTTGAAAATGAAAGGAGAATGAGGCATGATCTAGAAGATTCAGTGAAAGAAATGCAAAAGAGAGACTTTGAAGGACAGTAGAAGCTAACCAGTTTCAAGCAAAAGACTGAACAAATAGAGCAAAAAGAGGCATCATTGAAGAAATAAATCGATGACTTGATTGATGAGTAGAAGTAAAAGGGTCTTTAGGTAACCGAAATGACTAAGAAAACTGAGATAGTCAGTGATGAAAACAAAACCCTCAAAGCCAAATTAGAAATCTAAAACTAGAAAATCTAAAATCTTGAAAGGGAAAATACCAAGCTTTACAAATAGATATCAGATCTAAATCAGCAAAATACTGCATAGTAAAACAAATCTTAAAGAGGACCATCTCAAGAAAGCGTTATTCAAACATAAAATTAGTCTACCAACATGCAAACATTTGAAAACTAGATCAGTTCACCCAAGATTCAAAATTACTAAGCTTAGGTCTACACCAAGCCACCTATAGCTTCATCCCAACCTCCTTAATAGCATTAATCTGAAGAAAGAGAGAAGCAAGCTGCTGCTAGCAATTTCAATCCCCTAAGAGCTTAAATTAATTAACTCAGCTAGAATTACTCAAGAACTTAGGACTAGATTCAGCTCTAATCCTACAAGATTACTAACCCTCAACTTTCCAATTCCCATTCGGCAGAAAGACAATAATAGTAGAACATTGGAGGCAGTTATAATAATATAGGAAGCAGCAGCAATTACACCCTGACTAACAATAATAATTTTAATTAAAAATAGCTGAGTTTCAGTTAGTCTCGAGAAGTGCTTAATACTTTTGGAGCAAGTGATGAAAGAGAAGATAAGTCTCCAAGATTCAAGGTTTAAACCGATTCTCATATAATGGTTAGAGGAAATGCTTACGAGTCTGAGAGAACTCTCTCACCAACTCTAGAAGATATGTAATCAAAGCCTTATTTCAATAATACGGGAGAGCATAACCGTGGGTATGGGCTAAATGGCACTCTTGAAGGTACTAAGTCTTCGGTTTTATCTTAGTCATTAAGCAAATACTCTTAAAACTATGAACTACAGCAAAGATAGCCAACCTATTAAAATCAAAATTACTCAGCTGAAAGAGATGACAATCATAGCAGAGACCATATTAAGCTAACAGCAAGTTATACTAATCTTTAACAACAGCAATTTTAAGCAAACTCGATCCATTAATAAAACTCAGGAAAGAAGCATTTGTATAACTTTTCAACGAATGAGAAAAATGATTATAGTTCAAGTTCAATAGATCAAAGACAACCGATCCAAATACTAAATCATAAATCTGAATCAAATAATTAACCATCAATTTCTACTTACAAACCCCCAGTTTCCTATTCACCGATGAGATCTAAAACAGCCATGACTACTGATAACAACAACTCGCTGCCTAATTTCAATCAAGAAAATAACAACAGATCCGCTCATTAAACCAATGAAAAATAAGTGAGATTCTAAGGAGAGTCTTTCAATCAACAGTAAACGCAGTAAAACAATCAGAATCAGCAAAGATCTTATCTATTTAGCGGGTCTAATTAGTCTAAAGAGAATAATAACAATAGCTACATGTACAGTCAAAGTTAGTAATCCAAAGAGGCAACAAATTACTATGCTACAAGTGAGTTTAAGCCTGGAACTGCTACTACTGATTAAAATAAATCCTCACTCACCCAATTCTCCTATAATCCTAATAATAACAATAACAGTAGTAGTCTTAGAGATGGAAGCTAAAACAGAGCACCACTATAAGATTCAATGTATCAAAATAACAACAATATAGATTATAGCAATTCATAAGCACAGCTGAATAGTTCTAATGGAGCAAATAATTCTGATGCACTCAACAAAAGTAGCGGTTTGCTTCAAGGCATTAGAGATAAGCTGGCCATGCTTCAGAAAAGTAAGCATGAATTAGAGAATAAAATATACAACTTTGAATCAAAGCTCAAGGATGGAACTAGTACTAGTGGAGGACATGGAGGTTCTACTTACAAAAAATACTGATTAATAACTTAAAATTAGAAATAACTACTATGATTAGTTAGATTTGTGCACCTATAATGAAATTGAAATCCTTTAAACTTATTGTTAATGCTTAATTTTATTTTAGATTTTCGTTTATCATATCTAATTACAATTGAAGTTAATGGGGTTTTGGGGTTTTGGGGTTTTGGGG